ATCTGACAGTGTTCCACTACCATTTGTAAGGTTTTTAGTGGCTACACATTCAGAGGTAGTATGCGTGTCCTTCTTCCTAGTCTGCCTTAATATGGAAGCTCAGCTGAAATCTGTCCATCATGGGTGACCCTGCTGGTATTTAAAAGACTGGTGACATAGTCTCCAGCATCACAGCAACACAAAAGCCACCACAGTATGACAAACTCATAGACAAGTGGTGGTTAATGAAGTAACTACTGCTATGAAATATAGGTATAAACTATAAACTCCATAACTAATATTTCTTTTTTATGGGCAACTGAACTCATTGTATTATTAAAGATTTACCAGGGGTGTATGTTTTATCCTAATGTTTCTAATTGTCTTAAGAGAGCATCTAAAAGATTTTTTGTTCCTATACTCTTTACAGAAGGTACAAGAATAGAATCACAGACCAAGGACTAATCGTAAAGCTCTCCTATGAATTCCTAATTTCTACAGGCGGATACAGAAGCAAGGAAGAGGAAGGTTAAGCAACTTGTATAGCACAGGGACCAGTGAAGACAGGACCCTGGGTTCCTAACACTTAACTGGGTGCTCTTTCCACATGGTTTCTAGATACTGAGCCACCTAAAAAGTGTCCATTTTCTCTCCCAACTTGTATTTAAAAAAAAAAAAAAAACAACCCTCAGAAAAATGTACTTTGTTCATAACTCTAGGAAACATGGGAGATTCCCTCACCATCAAAATGTTACTGTGAAAATCTGAGTGGAGAAATGATCAATTCTGCTTGCCAAGAAAACTGCTGAGCACAGACCTGGTATCTCAAATCCATCAACTTCTTACAGAGAAAAACATTGTAAAGATATAGTGAGGAGGCAGTAACAACATCATTATAAATGGAGAAAAGATTGAAGTTGTCAAAGACTTCATTTTGCTTGAATCCACAATCAACACTCATGGAAGCAGCAGTCACTAAATCAAATGATGCTGCATTAGGCAAATTGGCACAAGACTTCTTTAAAATGTTCAAGAGCAAAAATATCAGTTTGAAGACTAAGCTGTGCCTGACCCAAGCCATAGCATTTTCAAAAGCCTCATATGCATGTAGAAGTTGGACAATGAATAAGGAAGACCAACAATGAATTGATATATTTGAATTATGGTTTTGTAGAAGAATATTAAACATGGACTTCCAGAAGTACAAACAAATCTGTCTTGGAAGAAATACAACCAGAATGCTCCTTAGAAGCCTGGATAACAAGACTTTATCTCTCATACTTTGGACATGCTATAAGGAAGGACCAGTCCCTGGAAAAGGACATCACGCTTGGTAAAGTGGTAGGTCAGTGAAAAAGACGAAGACCCCCAAAGAGATGGATTGACCCAGAGCAAGCAGTTCAAGAATACCACCACCTATGAGTATGGTGCAGGACTGGACACTGTTTTGTTCTGCTGCCCACAGGGTCACATTGAGTCACACCAACTTGACAGCACCTAACAACAACAAGGTGGTCTGATGAGACCAGTTACTCTGAAGTTATCTAAATAAAATAATGATTCCATAGTCAAGCTGGTAGTCATCCCCAAATCAACAAAAAATGGGGAAAAAAGTCTAATTTAACTGTCATAAATGGCTGCTATGCTAAGAAAAATGTGATGAGTATTTTACTCAACACAAAATTCATCTCACATGAGCCACTAACTCACACTAAGGGTTCAAAAGAGAAGGAAACAGTGAGCACAGCTCACAGAGGTTGGAATTAACCAACCTGAATTAACTGAAGACATTTAAAAACATGAAAAGAAATTAATAAAAATCATATTTAAAATTTGCAAACAATAGTTTCTTCACCCTTATATCTCAGGACCTCTTTACCTCTTAAAAACTGGGAACTCCTTAACCGTTTTTGTTTATATGACTTATGTTGTTGTTGTTGTTGTTAAGTGCCGTCAAGTCGGTTCTGACTCACAGCAACCCTGTATATAGTTTCCGAGGAGCAGCTGGTGGGTTTAAAGTGCTGATCTTGTAGTAAACAGTTCAGTGCTTATCCTATAGTACTATGTTATTGCTTTTAAGTGTCATCGAGTCTGTTCCGACTCATATCAACCCTGTATGGTGTTTCCTAGGAGCAGTTGGTGGGTTTGAACTGCAGACCTTGTGAGTCCCAGTCCAGTGCTGATCCTTCAACGCCACACCAGGAGTCCTATCTTGTTATTGGTAAGTGCTGTCAAGTTAGTTCCAACTCATAGTGACCCCAAATAGCATTTCCAAGGAGCAGTTGGTGAGTTTGAAACACTAACCTTGCGGTTCAAACTGACCTAACATTTACCTTGCACATTAACCCGCAGTACCACACCAGTTATTGATGGTGGTGGCGGCAGTGGTATGCCATGGAATCAGTTCTGACTCACAGTGACCCTGCATATGGTTTCCAAAGCTATAAATCTTTTTTTTTTTATTTGAGATATTATACATTTATTATTGTCAAGTGCTGAGTCGGTTCCAAAACATAGGTACCCTGTATAGGGTCTCCAAGGAGTGGTTGATGGGTTTGAACCACCAACCTTGTGGTTAACAGTCCAGTGCTTATCCTACAGTGCCACATCAAGATTGGAAAAAATTATTTTTATTATAATTGCTGCTTCTGGCAAGAATAATCAAGTAGGAATGTAAATTGACATGGTCTTTAGGAAGGCAACTTGATATTACTTATCAAAATGTAGAGTTCAGATGCCTTTACGACAGCAATTTTGCTTCTGGAAGTTTCTCTGCACAGGTGCACACAAACGTATGTGTAAGAGTGTTCATTGTAGCATCTGTGGCAGAGACAGGGAGCTGCCCACCAAAGTTCTGTATACATTGTTATTCAGTGCCATTGAATTGGTTCTGACTCATAGTGACCCCGTATAGGGTTTCCGAGAAGCAGTAGCGAGCTTGAACCACTGATTTTGTGGTCCAGCGCATGATTCTTTCTATGATCATCAGTTGCCAAGGCTATAAATTTTTACCAGAGCAGAAAGCCTCTTCTTTCTCCCGCTAACCAACTGATAGTTTCGAACTTCTGACCTTGAAATTAGCAGCCTGACTCATAATCACTACACCTAGTTACTGATATATACCATATTATAAATAAAAAATGTATTTACTAATTTCATTAAAAAATAACAATAACCCCATTATATGTTATATAAGGAGCCCTGGTGTGCTATAGGATAAGCACTGGACTGCTAACAGCAAGGTCAGTAATTAAAATTCACCAGCTGCTCCTCAGAAACCCTACCCAGGGTCTCTATGAGTCAGAACCAACTACACAGCACTGAAACAACAACACGTTATAGAAGTAATTTTTATGAGAATAGTCATATTTCCCCAAAAAATAAGTGACAAAAGTGGCATTGTTTCAGTTTTACAGAGTTGACATCAGAAAACAAATGAGTTTTCAAATCTATTTATGCATTCAATCTATTATGATTTGGGTGAATTATATGGAAAAAATACACCCCTACAAAGACATATACAGTAAAATCTTCAAAAGTTGGAGCCTGCATAAGGTAGAAAACTATCAGAGAAGGAAAATTCCAGTATTTTCCATTAATAGAGAGCAATAGAACAGTGGTAAGACTGTACCCTGTCAAAGGAGAAACTGTAAGAGACCCAAAGAAACAAGGCAGCCATGTGGCTCTCTGGTTCTCACAGGCTTCACTCTAGTTGGGAAAGGTATGGATATTTTAATCCCCTTTTCAGATATCAGAACTGGACAAATGGTCATTTCATAAAGTTTAGATGCATTTGTAATCTGAAACTGTACCAATGAACTTTTTTATCCTGTTACATTAAAATCTATTGGTCTGTGCTGAACTGGGGTATGTTACTCTGCTGTGTATAGTCTCTAACACAAAAGACAAAAGAAGTGATTTTTAAAAACCTATACTTTAATAGCAACAACAAAAATGGACTGGTCTACCTTGCATTTTGAATGGATCATGTATCTATGAATGCTTTTGTAATATCTTTTAGTGGTCACTGGGGAAACACTAGTTATTTTGAAAACTGACTTATGCAGATCATTACCCAATACTAAAAATCACATTAATTAATATCACAATTGATGTCATCAGAAGTCTTAAATTTTCAGAAACTATCAAAATCACAATGGCAAATACAAATTTTCAAGATTGTAATTTTCACTTCCAAGTTCAAATTCTATCAATGGCAACAGACCTCATTGCTGTTTTCCTTGAAGTGGCAGACTCATTTGAATCATTTTCAAGAGCATATCTGCCAAATACCAAAGTCAGAATAATCCTAGTTTGCCCATCAGTTGTTCCTCCAAGGAAAAATGGTGTTTTGTTCCAAAAAATGCAGCTAGTACAGCTTACAACTAAAACACGTGCACAAGTGTTTTTCCTTCAGACAACCAGCATACTTTGTTCAATACGGGCTTCTCTTTCCATCACAGGATGTGAAAATGATGTTTAAATCAAGTTTTGCGATTTAACAAAATTAATTCTGTCTAAAAGATTTACACCCTCGGAAACCCTGTACAGGGTCGCTATGGGTCGGAACCGACTCGATGGCACTTAACAACAACAACAACTGCTTCGTCACAAGCTTATTATTAAGTGAAATTGGCAAATAAGTGACAGTGAACAAGACTCTAATTATGGTATAGTTTGTGCCACTGCCTTGATTTATGCTAAGGCACCAGCAGTTTTAACCACTGTAATTTTTTTTATCATCAGTAACATCTTGTCATTGTTGTTGTTAAGTGCCATGGAGTTGGTTTCGACCACAGGGACCCTGGATAAGGCTTCCAAGACTCCAATAGCATCTTAGTATTATCATAAAAATAATTTTGACGTCATGGAAGCCCTTTCAAGGAGGTCAGAGACCTCCAGGCATCCATGGACCATATTTTGAGAACTACTGTTGCCTTACCTCTAGCAAGATCCGCTGTTCCTCTCATACAAATCGTAGTGACCTTAAGCAAAAGAAAACTCAAAAAATACTCTCTTACCTTTGCCAAGACTAAAGACAAATGGCTCATTCCTATCACGACTGGAATCAAACTTCTTTCCATTTGATAGTTTTCCTTTGTAATGGACATAAACTTTGTCTCCAATCATCGGTGTTTCCTCACTAGTCCCCACTCTTTTGACAATCTAGAAGAAACAAACATCAAGATAAAGGAGGTGGAACTTTTTACTGTTAACAGGAGAATACAAAAGTTCACATACTCCATTCTATATCACTTAAGTAGATTTACAAATAAACTATTACCTGTCCTTTAGTAAACGCTTCTTTACAGTTCTCTGAAATAGCGTTCCCTGCCTGAAAAGTACCTTTTATGAATCTCTTTTGTGCTATATTTAACTTTATCATTGATATGCTCTCAAAATAATTAGTCAATAGATTCTGTTAAATTGGTCTAATGCGCCATTCTTAGACATTAAAATTTCTGGGAAAAAAAAGACTTGAGAGTTAGGTCATATACAAATGGAATTAGAATAAAGATTGGTGAGTTTTAAAAGATACTCAAAAAGAAGGCTAACACAAATTTCAAAGCTGAGATTTTATTTAGATCCCTTCTTTTATCTTCTCCTTTGTAATGATTTAATTTCAGAAAGCCTAATTTCCTGACATAACAGGTTACACTTCCCATTATTTGAAGACTGTTAGATCTGAAAAAGCATTAGTACATTGCACAGTTAGATACAATATTGAATAATTTATTTCCTAGCAAAGAATGTGCCAAAAAAGCTCTAAGATGAAAAAGATTTAGCTATCATAACATCAGCTATATTTATTTTGTTCTTGGCAAAGCAAGCCACTAACACGGTAGGTCGGTTCTGGGAGAAGAAAATCAAACCCAGTAGTGTAGTAGTGTTAATTACCTTGTCAGTCAAGTAGGTCAAACTAACCACTTTTAGTAGAAAAGATGATGGATGATAGCTAACCTCCACAAAGATCTTTTTTGGGGGAAGCGCCTAAATTGTTATCTAAAGAATTCAGTTTATTTTCTCTTTTCTTTGAGAGAGGTATTACCTGTCCCATTCCCACATTACTGTACAACAAGGTGACCTGAGATTCTACAATCTTTTTAGCTCAACAGTTAAAACATTCTTTAGCGGAAAAGAATCATTACTATCATTCCAAGAGTTAAAGGGGAAAAGAAAAAAGGTTTTCAATAAATGTAATCTTAAGGAGCTCTGGTAGTGTAGTGGTTACGAGTGGGTTGCTAATCTCAAAGTCAGCAGTTCTCAGGAGAAAGATGAGGCTTTCTGCTCCTGTAAAGATTTACAGCCTTGGAAACCCTATATAGGGTCACTATGAGTCAGAACCGACTCCATGGCATATCACCACCACCACCACCACCAAACATAATCTTATCACACAGAGATCTAAAAGTAGACATGTTTGAGAACTCTATGGGGTAATTGAGTGCCGATGATCAATCACCTGTCAGCATCACATGGAGAGAATCAGTACTTCTAGGATTGTAAACAGACAATTGGGCAAATGAGATGAATGGCTATCAGAGTCAGGCACCAGCAAATTATACCAGGTGTCACAGCATAATCCTCATAAGTGTATGAAACATGTAGTGATGTTATTCCAGTTTTACACATGAGAGTTTAACTACATTGCCCTAGGTCACACAGTAAGCAGACCTATCTCATGTTAACCAAAAGCCCCATGGTGAAATCGGAAGCTCTAGACAGTGATAAATGACACAATCTCAAAATGTTTCTTACAAGCCAAAAATGCTTGTTATTAGATTTACTCCCTAGAACAAAGCAGGGCCTAAGGCAGGTTGGAGAACATGTCCTTTATTACAGGTACTCTGAAAAAGACTAGAGCAGGACAAAGCTAGAGATAGGGAGATGCAGAGGACAATCTGCAGACTTTCCACCATCTCTGGAAGCATCCAGGAGATGAGTTCCTATGAGCTGGAAGTGACTCAGCAGCCCAATGGCGACCACATAGTTACAAGCCCAAGAAGCCCTGTGAAAGAAGAGCTCAGGATATAGACCTACAGCAGAAAGCCTTTATTCTGTAGTTGCAAGGTTCTAAACTTTGACGCGGCACATAGCAAGCTGATAGTAACGCATGTATATTCAGAAGAGATGCACACACAGAGGCTTTCACATAAGTAAGATTGCTGTTGCTGCTGGGGGGATTGTGCCGTCAAGTCGGTTCCAACTCATAGCGACCCTTGATAAGGTTTCCCAGGCTGTATATTTTGTTGTTGTTAAGTGTCTTTGAGTTGGTTCCCACTCATAGCAAGCCTGTATAGGGTTTCCAAAGAGCCGTTGGTGGGTTTGAACCGCCAACCTTGCAATTAGCAGTCCAGTGCTAATCCTACAGAGGCACAGCAGGACTCCGACAGGAGCAAAGCCTCTTTCTTCCGAAAAGCACTTGATGGATTCCAACTGTTGACCTTGAAGTTTTAGCAGCCCAACACACAACCCACTATGATACCAAGGCTAGACAAAGCACACTGAAAAGTTCTCATTTGCTACTGCTGACAAATGAAAACATTAAAATTCAGCATAGTGGTAATATTAAAAATGTATGTGTAACAACTGTAAAGGTAGACGTTTTATAACATAAAGGGGGACTAGTTAATCTTACATTCCAGGAACAGAGGACCCTAGGATCATCAAGGGAGAAGAGCAAGAGCGGAATGTGGGACCCCATCCAGAGAAGTAGCAACACTAGAGACGGAGGCAGAGATGAGGACATGGAGAGAGGGAGCAGCTGAGGACTCTAGACTCATGGGAAGAGAAAGACTGCTGGCGGCCAAGAGGCAGGCTAACAGAATGTGCCCTTTGGTTGTTTAAATTATTATATATTTCTGAGTGCTATGGTGTATATCTCCCCCTCTCAGAAAAACAAAAACAAAAACAGGGAATAGAAGCAAATACTGTTGAATGATGACGCACAGAGGGGGTTGTAATCATTGCTATGAAACAACGAGTGTAAAACCAATGGTCTCTCATGTAAACTATCACTCAAGTCACAATAAAAATGTTAAAAAAAAGTATGTGTAAGATAATCTTTTCAGCAAAAGAAAAGATAACTATATAAAGTCTGTATGTTTAACAACAATGTAGGAGAAATAGCACTGCTCCTTATTATGACTCAAGTCATTAAAGTCTCTCAACTTCAGTGTACTCACTTATCAAGTGAAAGACTCAAGAGCTGTTCTGAATGCCTCACACCAATACAGCCACAAACAAATAATACATGTGAAAATGATTAACTATAGAGTGCAAAAAATACATAGTGTTTTAATAAGGAAAAGGAATTCAAAAGCAAGATAAATTCTCTGATGAAACCTCAAAAAATATTCTCATTGCAAACAGAAACTTTTTATATAAAAAGAAATCCTTTCTCTCAACTCTGCAAGACACTTATCCTCTAAAATCTTTTAAACTGTCGTTCATTCACTTTACTTTGTTGTTGCTGTTGTTAAGTGCCATCAAGTCAGTGCCCACTTGTCGAGACCCTATATAGAGTTTCCAAGGAGCAACTGATGATCTTAAAACCACTAACCCTGCGATTCAAACCGACCTTGAGGACCAGTGTCTATCCTTCAGTGCCACACCAGGACTCCGCTTTAGTATACTTACATATTATATTAAAACAGCCCACTTTTACACTGAGAAGAGTGAGATACAGCCTTTTGTGTCAGATATAAATGGGACCTGAAACCCAGATCTTTATTTACTCAGAAATGTGTAGTGGTTACAAATCAGGCTGCTAACCTCAGGGTCAGCAGTTTGAAACTAACAACTGTCCCACAGGAGAAAGATGAGGCTTTCTGCTCCTGTAAAGATGTACAGCCTTGGAAACCCTGTACAGGGTCACTGTGAGTCGGAACCAACTCCACAGCACATAACAACAACAATGATGTTGAGTAAGATGCTTTACCTAGCAGGATCTGTTTTCCCACCTGAGGGGAATAATAATAATTATATAATTTTTTTAAATAAAAATTTTTTTAAACTCAGCTATCTGGTGCTGTGGGCTAATGCGCCAGACTGCAAAGCCGTTTGAACTGTAGGGTCAGCAGTTCAAGCTCACCAGCTGCTCCTCGGAAACCCTATACAGGGTCACTATGGGTTGGAACCGACTCGACGGCACTTACCAACATAATAAGAGAATATCTGTAGAATTTAGCACTTAGTGTGCCTCAAAGAACATTCATTATCCACTATTTCTCTAACCCCCAACTAAAAAAAATTTATTTTTTCATAGTCTTTCCAAGTGACAATCTTCCCTGCGTGTCATTCACCCCTGCAGCCTCACCTTTAACACTCCTCTGTCCTTCTTGGAGGTAATATCCTCTCCTCGTTCAGCAACAGTTGCTGCCGGACTTTCTCCATTGTTCTTGGCACCTTCGTCAGTAGTCATTGTCTTTTATAAGTAAAAAACCTGCTGAGAAGAAACACATTTTAGTGAAGAAAAATATCACTTTTATGTACAAGTTAAATGCTCCTGGGAGAATGCTTTGTTTACATTAGATTCCCTGGAATACCTCTACCTTTTAGACTGGCAAAACAAAAAGAGGGTGAAACGAAATAAAAAGAATGTAAGGGTTCTTCCTCTGTCTCTTAACAAGCTGTTTGGTGCTGGCTACTTTAACCTCTAAGGAGCTCAAGGTCAGCAGTTCAAAACTACCAGTCATTCCTTGGGAGAAAGATGAGGCTTTCTGTTCTTATAAAGATTTACAGCCTCAGACTCCATGGCACACCACCATCACCACTTTAACCTCTAGTCAAGTTCTGTTTTTCAGTCACCTCATATGCATGCAAAAACTGGAACTGGACAATGAATACGGAAGACTGAAGAAGTAATCCCTTTGAATTATTGTTGTTGTTAGGTGCCGTTGAATCGGTTCCGATCCATTGCGACCCTGTACAGGGTTTCCGAGGGTGTAAATCCTTACGGGAGTAGAAAGCCTCATCTTTCTCTCGCGGAGCGGCTGGTAGTTTCGAACCGCTGACCTTAAGGTTCGCAGCCCGATTCGTAACCACTACGCTACCAGAGCTCCTTATAGTGCTGGCAAAAGAATATTGACTATACCAGGGATCACAAGAACAACGAACCAATCTGTCTTGGAAGAAGTACAGCAAAATGTTCCTTCCAAGCAAGGATGGCAAGACATTGTTTCATGAGCTGTAAACATGTTATTAGCAGGGACTAGTTCCTGGAGAAAGACATCATGCTTGGTAAAGGGTCAGAAGATAGAGGAAGAGTGTCAACAGTGGTTACAATAATGGGATCAAATATAGTAAGTAGCAAAGATTATGAGGATGTCCCAGGACCCGGTAGTGTTGCGTTCTTTTGTACACAGGGCAGCTATGAGATGGAAACAACTAGATGGCACCTAACAACAAGTCTTTTTCCTAGCTCTATAGTTAGGATAAAAATAAAACAGTATTCTCTGGATTAAATGGGATAATGCATATTTTTAAACTACCTTAATCAACTATTACTTCTTATTGTTATTGCCAGTAATCCAACAGACACTTTTTCAAAAAGGACAAATCAATTTTAAACCAATAGCCGAAACAAAACACAGCTCACCACCAGCTGCCAGGTTAATTCTATACTGCTTTCCTAGTTAGGAGTCGAGGAGTCATGGTAGGATTAGAACTGGACTGCTAACTGCAAGGTTGACAGTTCAAATCCACCATATGCTCCTTAGCGACCCTACACAGGGTCGCTATGAGTCAGAACCAACTTGACAGCACTTAACAACAGCTCCTCCTACTTGACCATGGAAAATCAAGAATCAACCTTTTCTAAAGGAGTCCTAGTGTTGTGCTACAGGATAAGCACTGGACTGTTAATCACAGGGTCAGCAATTCAAAGTCAACATCCACTCCTAGGAAACCCTGTACAGGATCACTAGGAGTTGGAACCAACCCAGAAACACTTACAAATAACAACAAAACTAGTTTACATTTGTCTAATAATAGATGTTTACTGTTGTCATTATGTGCTGTGGAGTCAGTTCCAACTCCTAGCGACCCTATATAAGGTTTCTGAGGCTTTAAATCTTCATGGGAGCAGAAAGTCTCATCTATCTCCAACGAAGCAACTGACAGACTCGAACTGCAGACTTGTTCTAGTCCAGTGCTTATCATATGAAGTTGTATATCTATCTCCATAAAGTCACCTGCTAGACTTCCATAGTCAAAAAAAAAAAAAGATATTTTGCATTTTCCAAAAAATCCTACTGATATAATTGATAGACAACTAAAATGCACATGGTGTTTCAGTTTACCTAACTCAATGTCAGCAAAGACATCAATCAAACTGCTGTGCCCAAAAATCTTCAAAGAGCACACAAGAAAATAAGGGCTAAGCCTCTTTGCTTTAATTTCTAGAACAGTTTATACCAAATAGCAATAACAACAAAAACGCAAATGCTTGGCTCAGAGTAAGTGAAAAAACAGAACAATCCGTTCTCAAACAACAAAAATGAAGCACCTAGTATACGTGGTGCTGAGCCAGCTAATTTAGGAAAAATACATGAACAGAGTCAATATAACAGACTTTTCTGAGGCATAAAAATACGTAAAGCATTCTTTAAAAACAGGGAAAAAGAACTTTTAAATCTTTTGTCAGTGGAAAAACGCACTCGTGCGTGCACAATCCCACAAATCCCAGAAACTTTGCAGATACACTGACATACATTAGGAGACTCCTGGTAAACCCTGATTTAAAGCACTGAGCAAACTGAAACCACCCAGCGAAAGATTTTTGGAGAACAGGATAGCCACAGAGTCTCAACCCTCCACAGATTACTTATTACTAAAAAATAAAAAAACTTTGCAATGAAATGATCTGATACCCACTTAATAAGTTACATGCAGTCATAACTAAGCTCTGCATCACCAGAAATGAAACAAACTGATATTATCGTGCCTCCTGATGGGTTATAAGGGGAAGTACAACATCACCTACATGGTATTCCTATAAAAAAATAGTCTAACCTGAAATTACTCAAGAAGAAAAGACAAGATTGTGAAACATAAATGTTAAAGTCATTTTTGTGCTATTTTTGTTGCTAAGCTCAGTCTATTCAGTTCCTCCTCATAGCAACCCTGTATAGGGTTTCCGAGGCTTTTAAAATCTCCCAAGGAGTGGCTAATGGACTCAAATCTCCAACCTGTGGTTTGAAGTCCAGTGCTTATCCTACAGAACACATCAGGGGCCTATTTTAGATTGGAAGAGACTTTGGAGTCCTGATGTGGCATTGTAGGGTAAGCACTGGACCACAAAATCAGTTTGAACCGCAAGGTCAGTGGTTCATACTCACCAGCCGCTACTTGGAAACTCTGTACAGGGTCACTAAGAGTTGGACCCAACTTGACAGTACTTAACAACAAAAACAAAGAGGTGCACTAACCAAATGCAATGTGTGATCCTTGGCTGGATACTAGATTCCGAAGACCAATGCCTGTAACTCAGTCGACCCTGTAATAAGGGTTTCTGAGGAGCCGCTGGTGGGTTTGAACCACCAACCTTGCAGTGCTTACTCTATAGCACCACATCAGGACTTCCATTAGGCATTGTTATCAGGTGCTGTTGAGTATGTTTAACTCATAGTGACCAATGCACAACAAAACGCAGCACTACCCAATCCTTTGCCATCCTCACAACTGTTGTCATGTTTGAGCCCACTGCTATTGCCACTGTGCCAATCCATCTTGTTGGAGTCTTCCTCTTTTTCATTGGTCCTCCATTCTACCCAGCATGGTGTCCTTCTACAAAGACTGGTCCCTCATAACCAGAAGTCCGAAATATGAGCGACAAAATCTTGCTATCCTGACTCCTAAGAAGCATTCTGGCTGTACTTCTTCTAACATAGATTTGCTTGTCCTTCTGGCAGTCCACGGTACTTTTAATAGTCTTCTCCAAAATCACAACTCAATCGCATCAACTCTTCTATGGCCTTCCTTATTCACTGTCCAACTTTCATATGCATATGAGGCTATTGAAAATACAAAGACTTGAGAACTTAGTTCTCAAACTGACATCTTTGCTCTTGAACACTTTAAAGAGGTCTTGTGCAGCAGATGTGCCTAATGCAATATGTCATTTGATTTCTTGACTGCCATTTCAAGAGCGTTGATAGTGGGTCCACGCAAAATTAGGTATTTGACAACTCCAATCTTTTCTCCATTTATCATACTATGATTTATTGGTCCAATGGTAAGGGTTTTTGTTTTCTTTACACTGAGGTGCAATCCATTCTGAAAGTGGTCTTTGATGTTCATCAGGAAGTATTTTAAGTCTTCTTCACTTTCAGCAAGCAAGGTTGTATCATCTGCATATCACAAGTATTAACAAATGAGTCTTCCTCCAATCCTGATGCCAAATTCTTCTTCATATAACCCAGTTTCTTGGATTATTTGCACAGCATACAAATTGAATAAAATATGATGAAAGAATACAACCCTGGGAACACCTCTGCTGATTTTAAACCAATAGGAACAAGTGTTCCTTTCTTCTGTTCCTAACGATTGCCTCTTGGTAGTCGTACAGGTTCTATAAAAAGGACTTGATTAGATATATCATCAAAGAGCTATTTCACAGTTCTACAGGTTCCTCATGACCACAATTAAATGTTCTGAAATACTCATTCTTCGCAATGTTATTTATAAGTTGTTGATAGTCTTTGCTTAGTCAATAAACCACAAATAAACATCTTTCTAGCATTCTCTGCTTTCAGCCTAGAACGACTTGATGTCAGCAATGGTATCCCTCATTCCATGTCCTTGTCTGAATCTGGGTTGAATCTCTGGTAGGTTCCTATCAGTTACAGGCATTTAAAAATTATTATTAGCAAAATTTTACTTGCATGTGATATTAATGATTGTCATAATTTCTGCACTCTCTTTGGAATGAGCACAAATATGGATCTCTTCCAATCAGTTGACCAGATAGCTAGATGTCTTCCAAATTTCTTGGCACAGATGAGTGAATAGATCCAGTGAGACCTCAATTTGTATTCTATCAATTCCCGGACACTTGTTCTTCCTTCAGTGCCATTAGTTCTTGATCATATGCTACCTCTTGAAATGCCTGAAACTTAACCTTTCCTTTTGATACAGTGACTTTGTGCATTCCTTCCATCTTTTGATGCTTCCTGCATTATTCAATATTCTGCTCATAGTATTCTTCAATATGGAGTCCTGGTGTGATGTTGCAGGATAAGCACTCGACCGAAAGTTGGTTTGAACTGCAAGGTTGGTGCTTCAAGTCACCAGTCACTCCTTGGAAACCCTATGTAGGATCGCTATGAATCAGAACTGACTCGATGGCACTTGTTAACAACAACAACAACAACAACAATCCTTCAATATTGCAAGTCCAGGCTTGAATTGTTTCATTTCTTCAGCTTGAGAAATGCTGAGCAT